CACACACACACACACACACACACACATACACACACACACACACACACTCACTCACTCCTACTCCCTTCTATGTATGTCTTTCTTCGAATTCTTCCTGCTTTTTTTTGCTGCTGTCTTCCTCTTGTATGTTTCTGAGTATTTTTTTGTTTGCTGAGCTCAGCACCCTTAAGCAGTAGCAAACAGTCGGTCATTCCTCATTTGAATTCCCTGCAGCACTCTTAGGGGGGCCGCACAGTCCGGGATGTCTGTCTGCCCTACCCGTGCTGATGGACGTTTATGTGAGTAGGTCATGTGCCTTTTTGCTCAGTGCTGGATATGTCATATGTGGACTGCCTAGTCTGCGCTCTGCTGCTGCCTTGATGCCCATCCCGCTTGCTTATCAGGTCATTCTTGGCAAGCTGCTGTGTTCACTATGTTGGTGTTGCCTTGTGCTACGCTGCTCCCCTGCCTTGCTGCCCATCTGCAGGACGTGCCTTCCGTGTCCTTTGCTTGTGTACCTTGCACTTCAGTTGGCTTGTTGGTGTTGCCTTGTGCTTCAGTGCATGGTTGCCGTGCCATTCATCCGCTTGCCCCGTCGCACCTTGCACTGTGTTGTAGCACCTTGCACTGTGCAGCCCGCCACTGTGTTCCATTTGGGAACAGTCTGCCTTCAACGAGGGTGAATGAGTAAACCACGCAAACCACGATACGGGCACTCCGCATGTTGTTGAGGGTTCAGCCTCCTGATGAGTCGGTGCAACTCCTCTGAAACAATCTTTTGTCAGTATTCTCTTTTTTTTGGACTTCTACTTTTCTTGTATGTCTTCTTTGGCCGTTCTTACTTTTTGGCCCAGTGCCTTGACATTTGTTACCGCGGTTGGAAGTTTTTAACAACAACGTAGCCGGGCTTGAATAAGTGTCTCGTGGACCACACAGGTCGAAATTCCCCAGATGAAAATCTGGCAGAAAACATTTTCGATTATGCTTTTATTATTTAGGAGCAATTCCTTACAAGTAACTCTTCACTCTCTTTTTTGGCACTTGTTGACTTGTCAATCATGCGGAGGTCCGAAAAAAAATTAGGCTATGGGTGAGAGCACTGAAAAGACAATAAAGTTTTTGAAAATTCGAAACCACTTTCTGATCAGTACATGGGCACCTGAGCCGCGCATCCGACACCTCAAATTCAGGAGGCGCGAAATGCAGACTGGGCCTATTTTTGAAGTACGTGTGGCAAAAGGCGACCCTTTCATGCCGTCTATGATCATTTGGATCGTATGGCAACACGTTTGTTTTTTGTTATCTGGGCACCGTGGGTGGATTGTCTGTTGCGAGATGCAGGGAATGCGTTCTTTACAGTATTTTCCCTCATTAAACCACCAGTACCTCGCCCTGCTAAAAATTTCTGACGTGGCCGTTAATGCGCGGCTTCTCGGACGGGGGACGTCCGTATGCGAAGTGGTCGTCCGGGTATTCAGGGCATACTCTCACGGGGACCAAAAGTCTCAAAAATTAGAGGCATTTGGTTCGGGTTTTTTTAGTCATTTGGTCCCCATGTGGTCACACGCGCGGACTTCGTCCAGAAAGGACGAAGGCGCGACCCTCACACTTTGAACTCAGGGCTAGTGCGCCCGGTCACACGGGCGAAGACCAAACAAAAAGTTTGAATTTGTTGTTTGTTTTTTTGCACGCCAGTATAACGTGTGGGCCTTTGCTACAAGGTAAATGTTTCTGGTCGCACTTCCAGTTGTTTGGCGGGTTGTCTTCTTCTTCTATGATTTTCTTCAATTCACAAACATACAAAAAAAAAACGAAAGGTAATTTGAGACACCTCCGGAGGTGGGGTTAAAAAGGGTCCTCCCACGGCCCCGCAGGCCGCTGACAAAAGGGTCACCCTTTGGGGCATTTGGGTAGCGGGCCTCTCCAGTGTGACCCGAAAACTCACTCAAATTTTGGGATTTAGGGTCTTTTGGTCCATGTTTGAGGGCATACTCACACGGGGACCTATAATCCCAAAATCCCCCAAAAAAGGGGAAAAGGCCGGTCACAAGGATCTACCAAATTCGCAAATGTACTATTCCAGTGCCCATTTGTCAGCGGCCTGGGAAGCCGCAGGGCAAGGGATTTTGCGGTCACCTCCACCTCTGGTGACCGCAAATGCCCTTTTTTTTTTGCATGAGAAAACTACGGCGCAGTCAGGGTTCGAGGTTGTAATTGCACTTGAGGCAAAAGGGCCAGTAATGCTGAATGTATATGACCTGCTTTTAGGGTCCTGTGGGGTCGCTTGGGGGTGTGTTGTATTTGCGGGATTGCCTGAAGTGCAATTACAAACGGTTTTCGTGACTGCGCCGAAGTTACCCCTTTTTGCATATTCTTCAAAAATTGCCAAAAATTCGTTCACAAAAGTTCTTGCACAATTTGTGGATGGCGCGGTGTGACCAGCCAAGTACCAAATCCCCATTTCTCCAGACGGCCACGACCGTGCCCCATCTGAAAAGGTACAGCAGTGTGACGTGAACCATGCCCAAAACCTCACATCAGCCCTTCCCAAATCCGCATATTTTGCGGATTGGGGTCGCCGTGTGAGTATGCCCCGAGTATGCCCTCAGGGCACACTCACACGAGGACCAAAAGACCCGAAATCCCAAAATTTGAGTCATTTTTCGGGTCACACTGGCGAGGCTCGCTACCCAAATGCCTCAAAAGGTGACCCTTCTGTCAGTGGCCCGCGGGGCCACGGGCGGACCCTTTTCAAGACCACCTCTGGAGGTAATCCCAAATGACCTTTCGTTTTTTTTTTTCTATGTTCGGGAATTGAAGAGAATCATAGACAAGAAGACAGCCCGCCAAACACCTGAAAGTGCGACCAGGAACATTTACGTTGTAGCGAAGCCCCCCGTGTTCTACTGGTGTGAAAAAAAAACTTCCATCTTGTTGTTTGGTCCTCCCCCGTGTGACCCGGCGCACTTGCCCTGAGTGCAGAGTGTCAGGGTCGCAACTTCGTCCTTTGTGGACGAGGTCCGCCCGTGTGGTCCATGCGGGGACCAAATGCCTCAAAAAACACGAACCAAATGCCTCAAAATTTTTGAGACTTTTGGTCCCCGTGTGAGTA